TATCTAAATTCCTATTCCTTATTTGAAATTGGAAGATTTAATATCCTGCGTTTGTAGATTTTTGTGAGTCGGAATAACTTGAATTTCAAATATACATGCATGTTGGTTAATCTTCTATTGTAATATTTGGTATGGGGCTATCCATTTGAGATTAATTGACCAAATAGGTTAAAAGCTGGAATAATTTTCTTTTGTTAGTATTGTGATTGACTCCATTATTAACATCAAGTTTAGATAATATAAGTCATGTACATATATTAATATGCATATATTTAAATATTCAAGAGTTTTTATAGACTGAAATGATATTGTAGATTACGATTTTGCTTTTTACTATAAGGATAAAAATGGAAGACTGATTATCAGAAAATACAAAAAAAAATAAGAGAATTAAAATTTTAAAAGATCCAACATAATTTTGAATAGATTACATTCATACCGATAAGAGTAAGAGAGTCATTAATGGATTACACATGTTTAGATCTAATAAAATTAATTTTTAATAGATTAAATTCATGTTAATTCTATTAAACATATTATGTAAAAATAAAAAGCAATACTATATACTAATATGATCGGTTTAGATACAAATTTTTTAATACTTAGAATATTTCGAAACCTCTAACTTAACTGAAAAAATTAAATCATCTACTCTACAAGTAAAGAATTCACAAAAAAAAAAAAAAAAACTCAGCAACTTTGCATTTATCTTAAGGGGAATCCTATTTTGAAACCCTAAAATCAACAGTTAATTAGATCAAAGACTCATCTACAGTGTACTAAACCAGGAAATGATAAGTCAATACTTTAGGAGCAATTTCCATTTTACCACCCCTGCCTGCAGTAATAAGCAGTAGTATATGACAAGTCAAGTCTTCAGAGCGCGGTACATATAAACCAAATCAACCTGATTGAACTCAGTGGGCCTCAACTTAAAGGCTAATTTTGAAATAAAGATCCAAATGGCCCACATCTTTTAATTCCCTGTTTGGGAACCCACATTAAATTATTTTAACCATGGAAAACCAACTCATGGATGGTATAGGTAATAGCAAGTCGACAAACCAGTTGCCAAAGTTTTGTCTCCTTATTTGGTGCAAGTCTAAATACAATGAAGTTGCCATAGACGCAACCAACTTCTACATAAAGCAAAGGGCAAGTTGCCAATGATAATAATCCACTCCCACCCATCAAATGCAACTTGCTACTTTATATGAATGAAAATAGACTAGTCGAGATATTTACTTATATCATCTGAATGTAGACTATATATAGTTGATGTCATTATTAAATATATGGGTTTATTTATGATGTCAGCTCTCTGATTTGCAGACAACGGTTTGGAGAGAATTATTATATGTAGAGATGGTTATTTATGTAATGTTGTAATCATGAGAATTGAGATGTGATATTTCACTCATATGGGCTGAGATATTCATTTAACTATTAATAAAAATTGAACAGTGCCTCAGTGTATATCTCCCCTATCAATGTGTACAATCTTTAGGTGTTCTTAGACTAATTGTTAAAATTTTACTTTTTAAAAGATATGATAAGGTATTTTATTTATTTCTTTATTTACCATGGAATGTAAAGTTATATATCTTATTGACCAGCAGCTAATCGTAACAAAAAGTAGTAATCGTAAGATATTTGAAAAATAATGATGGTTTAAAAGATTATAATTGATTAAAATTTTATAGTTGAGAAAGTAATCCTCTGTGTCATAATTATTTTACAACCAATATTATTACACCACTGTATGTAACATTTCCAAGAACTAATTAGTTGTAAGGTGAGATATAATGATAGCTGCTTTCAAATATAATAAGATGGAAATAGAATTAGAAAATCAATTTTGAATGTTAGTTCATGATAGGCACCTTACTATACGTGGTAAGAGCTTGATTTGGGGAAGAGATGGAGACAGAGGATAGATTTTACAGCGAGGAGATGGTTAAAAGAACCAGAAGAGGGGGGAGAAGGGGAATCAAAATGATAAGTCCAAGTCAGAAGCCAAAGTAAATTAATAAAGAAATTCTCTTCAGATGAGAATAAACCACAAGATTTTAGATTCAATAATTGCTTGCCTTCCTTGCTGGTTGGGAATGGTTTAAATATATAAAAATACAATCACAAACTCCTAC